TCTAACTCCATTTTGACGCTTTGTGTTTCGCGCTTCGCATGTGCGAGTCAACAGCCTTAATTCCCATCGTTCTGAGCTTGAATCACTTCTTGCACAAAATCCACTGAGCCTCATGTATGTTCCCTGGTTTTAGCCATGGAGAAAACTCTTGGCTGGAGACAATTCTGGTTACATTTACACTTGCTCATATTTTCCAGACAAAAAGTTAATGCTGCATCTCCCAGATGTCCCGGTCGCAACAACGCTTTATTGGTTCCGCTATCGGGACGGAACCAATAATAGCGAGTCGTTATTTTATTTTTTTAATTGTCAATTTTAATGTTTTATTTAGATTACAAATAAATCGTACTAAAAATAATCCTATTTATGATTTTTTTTTAAATTAAGACCTAGGAAAGACTAATTCAGGACATTTTAATACCAATTAAGGCCTTAGTTTTATTTTGAAGAAGCCTTTTAAGACTTTTTAAGGACCCGCAGGAACCCTGAAAGAATAGACAGCCAAAATGTCTACTAAAGTAAGGTAATGAAGTATTTCTACTTTGTAACTTGACACCTCTGGATTTAATAAAATTATAGTATTATAAACTTTTTTAGACACAATGTGAGAAACATCTGTGGCTGTGTTGCTGTGACTCGTCTGTCAGGCTGAGGTGCATCAATGAGTAGAACTTTAGCTCTAGCTGGTTAATGGCAGAAACAGATGCAGGTTCTTCAGTATATCCATGGAGCAGAGCAGACGTTCAATGACTTGCCTGGTTGGATCCACCTCAAAGCCGATGTGTTCAGGGGTTGAGATGACTCCCCTTAATAAAGGCTCCAATAACTTCTGCAAGTACGCTGCTCCATACACCTGTCATAATAACAGAAGGTCAACTTAGTGGGTCTAAAGTGAAGCAGTTCTACATGTGTGCAGATGGTTGGAAGGAACGTCTGCAAAGCAAAGCGCTCTTCACTCCAGCGGTTTTCAATCAGCAGGGAAAATAATCAAAGCTTCCACACCAAAAATCATTTATGGGTGAAACTTCAGTGCATCTGTGGTGCTGATCCTGCTTGCTGTTAGTAGATGAGTTTTCTACCTTGAAACAGAAGGTCATAATTTTGCTGGCGAGGCTGTTCCCTCTGAAGAGAGTCTGCATGGAGTCAGCCAGCTCCACCTCCTTGGAGAACATGTTCCACAGCAGCTGGTAGAGTAGATGGCGGGAATCAAACAGGGTCACCAGAACTCGCGCCAACTCGTCCTGGAAATCAGAAAACAGACGCATCACGACCTGAAACAGAGCCTGCAGCTTTTTTTCACCAAAATTGTGATTTTATTTTGCTTTTCCTTTGCACTAACCCAAAAACTTGTAGATGTCCTACCCAAGGCTTTTGGTTTTTGAGAACTTGCTGGCCCAGACTCCATTGTATCAAGACTTCACTTTAAATATAGTGTGAAAAAGTGTTTAATTCTACTTCTATGCATGGATCTGCAAGCTGACTGCAAATCTGTCAACCTTTCAATGTGGCGACAAACCTGCTTCAAGCATTTAACCACCACCCAAAGGGCTGGAGGGAAGACATTTAGTGTCCTGCTCTTGTTTGGAAATTTAAATAAGACTTCCCTAAGACTTATTTTTTATTATTTTTTGAGCGCCTCTAGAAAATTTCGGAATAATAAGTCACATAATCATAAAGCCTCATTAATCCAAAATATTTTAAAGATAATAATGATCTAATAATGGTTGAACATGAAGACAGCATCGCGCCGTCGCATTGCAGTAATTTTTCTGCACCTCTGTACGAACCATCGCAAGCTTGTTGGTTATGTTGGCAGAGCTCGAGGGGGGCACCATGTCTAGAAATTAACATTAGATCAACAAGCAAAGATTCTCCTGTTAAAATGCTTGCGGCGTGATAATTTAATAATTTTATAATTTAGGGGAAATGAATCGACATTGTGACGTCTACCGATTATGATTAGCGTTTCTCCTTTCCTCATTGCGCAGAGTAGGCCTGCCTANAAATGAATCGACATTGTGACGTCTACCGATTATGATTAGCGTTTCTCTTTTCCTCATTGCGCAGAGTAGGCCTGCCTATGGCACTTCACCTACAACGCCGTAGTCCAACATTGTAAACAAGCAACTTCTGAGGAATGGCTCGAAACGTGGGGATAAACGACAAAACACAGGTCATCAACGACCCTAGGCTACTCACTGTTTGGACTGCAACAAGTTATTTATTTATTTATTTATTTTATTTTTTTGAGAGCCTGCGTCCCATCGCGCTGATATCTCCAGTTCTGTCCTGTCATTTTAAAATCCTCCTTGTTTGTAATCAGAACGAGGATAGATTTCAAGTGTGCTTAATGGCTTAATTTGTGCATTTCATATATGGAGGGGGGTGTTCCTTTTTTGTTACAGCCATTTTGATTCGCGCAACATTTTGCTTTTAGGGTGACCAAATAAGTTAAAAAAAATCCCTCTCAGATAGTCTCATAAGGGTTTATTTTAGCTTAATTTAAAAAACAAATTTGCACCGCAGACGGGACGGGACCCCCCCCATTCCTGTGCCTCAAATCCATACCTACAAATCCTGCAAAAAAGCCCTGCCTTTGCTCACAGATGTTCGAGATCGGCCTGTTTTCCATTGTAGTCCTGTTTCTCTGACTGTGACTAACTGGGAGCTGGCTCAGAACTTGTCTGCCTGGCTGTGTGTTTCCTGGATGGGGCCGCTCACACTGAGCCTGGTTATGCTGGAGGTTTCTTCCTGTTCAAAGGGAGTTTTTCCTTTCCACCGTTGCTACAAGCATGCTTAGTGTGAGGGATTGTTTTTGAGTCAATGAGTCGATGCAAACAACTGGTTTTCCTTTGATAGAAAACTTCATCAATTTGACTGTATGATCTGGTTGAACTGTAAAGTGCCTTAAGAGGACATGTTTTGTGAATTGGCGCTATAGAAATAAACTGAATGGAATTGTAAAATTCAATCAAATTAAAATATACTTTATTAATCCCAAAGGGAATTTCAATATTGCAGCCAGTCATAGGTTATTTTAAGGTTATTTTAACAGGTGTTGCAGGTGTTGGTAGCTGTAGGCAGGAAGGATCTTCTGTAGAGGTCTGTCTTGCACCTGCAAATGCGCTAAATTACCCAGCCCTAGCCAAAAGTTTCATCGATATTAAAGGATGCTGGGTTCTCCCTTCGTAGAAGCACCAACATCCCCAGAAGTAGAGGAGTAAAGGGATCAGTACTGATTTTAATCAGACATAAAAGACCTCGGCTACATACCCACTGAGACCCGGGGACGACGTTAGCCAGCGCCATAGCGATGGGCAGCTCTCCCTGGTCCCCCATCATGGTCACCAGCTCCACCAGCCGCTCAAAGCGGTCAGCCAGCACCGTCTCTGCCAGCGTGTCGAACTCTGTTCCCTGCTGCAGAATCTTGGTCAGCACCTCCATGAAGGTAGCGCGAGTCTGAAGGTCCTTGTGGTAGCCTAAGCCTAAAATGGAAAAAGATTTAGCGCCGTTTCTACTCTGAAAGTTTTAACAGGAAGGTTAGAAACACGAGCTTATATTTCTGAAAAAAAACAAAAACCAAGAGAGCACTGACCGATGGAGTGCATGAGTCCACTGTCCACGTTAGCGTTGAGCAGGTTGGACATGGCCAAGATGGTGCAATGGCGGAGGGAAGCCAGGCGGCGAGACATTCCTCTCTTCCGCCCCCCCACTGTCTGACCCTCGTCTTCCACCTCGCTGCAGTCATTCAGCAGGTTCATGAACAGAGTGAAATACCTGCAAACCACCAGAGAGCCGCCTTGTTAGGAGGAAGGAACAGGATTTATTCACATTCAAACACTCTAAGTCAACAAACTATCAGGATTCTTCATGATTTCTTCTCCAAAGCTTAGACCTCTGGATAAGATTGTTCTGCATACACAGCTGCTTCTGGGTGGTGGGGTTCATATATATGAAAGTAATTGGTATCTGCTTTAAAAAAAAAATAGCTTGCAGTGGTTGATAGGGTTGAGTATTGACAGGGTGTTGCGATATGATATGTATCATGATACTTAGGTCACAATACGATATTAATATGATACAATACCTCTATATATTGTGATCAAATTTAAATGTATAGATAAAAAGCAACTGCTTTATATGTTCAGAGGATACTGATCATTTAGTTATTTAGGTATCCGTGTGTTTGGGGTTTGAGTCAGTCCACGTCCTCAGCTACAGATACGCTGTAGGTACCAGATCTGCTGGGGTCCTGCGCATGCCAGTGACTCGGTGAGTCGGGAGCATCTGTAGCGTTAGCGTTTTACTTGATCGATAACAAAACTAAAAAAAGTCTGTTAACGGTGAACAAAGTAAATGCAAGACCATGATATAAATGGGGAGAGCTGGGTAGCGCTGTGGCTAGCTGTGCTAAATAGGTAACAGGTTAGCCTATTTTAGCTCGGCCAGTTAGCCATACTAAGCTACACTAGGGATGGAACGGTTTATGAAAACCGTCCGAACCGTTCGGTTCGACTGTCTCGGATAGATTTTCCTAACTATCAACATATACCGAACCGAAAACCGTGACCACGAAACCGTGAACCGAACCGAACCGTGGATTTTGTGAACCGTTCCACCCCTAAGCTACACTACTTTTAAATTGATGTCAACGACAACCCTTGGTTTTCTACAAGTAGAATAACTGTTTTATTTGTCTAACATTTCTATGAAAGTCATTTTTTAAGATGTTCCATTTGTCCTTCCCTGCCCTCAGACCTTAATAAGAAGAATAAAAATAAGCTAAGACTTTTTTTTGTCACTTTGTTAAATGGCAGACCTCAGTCTTAAAAAGCAGTACTTTCCTTCAAGACTGACAATGATCGATTTCAACTTTCGGCTACTTTACAAGCCAATGAAATGTAAAATAATAGCAAATATAGATAATATGTTGATACTACAAAAGAGATTTTAACTTTAAGGTCCTATACAGTTTGTCAGAATGGAGTTGCCATATGTTGATGTCATAAGAAAGGACAGGGCCCCGAGCAGATCTGGTACCTACAACGGCGCTGCGCCACACACAGAAAGGGATCCACAGCGCTAACTGCTAACTGAGAGGCGGTGCAATTTCCCCTCATTGTTTTATGCAAAAAAAAAAAAATGTTTAATAACTATTGCCCGGGGCAAGTAGTTTTTGTTGTTTGGAGAGTACAAGTTTCATTGCATTTGCCCGCCGGGCAAGTGCAATGATCGCAAAAAAAAAAAAAAATGTATCACTCAAAATTACTTTAAAATCACTGACATTCGCTGAAAACGACACTCAAGCGTTACCGGCGCCATTTTTATTGTTTTGTACACATTCTAGCGTGATTATCCGCTAGATGGCGTGATTTTTCTCTCCTTGGGGAGAGAATTCTGCAGAGCAGCAGCTGGATGATGAATTTAATCTATACTATAATACACGCTAGATTAAAAATGATCAGTCAGGGATTAGAAAAATAATAATTGTATGCGCACAGTGTAAATATTTCTATCACATGGCAGTCTTCTGTACAGTGGCCATACATTAAAAACATACATTCAATTGTTTTCTCTTAAACATTGGAGTGCTGCATTTAAATGTTATAGAGCTAAATAAACATGTTAAATTGGTGAGGAGTAGTAGTGTAAGTTTTTAACCTGTCAAGTTTTTTTT